TTCGCTTCATTTATTCGTTGATATGGGCCAATATATCAAACAACTGCACTGCCGTTCGCTGCTTGACGAGCGCAATGGGGCGTGAGCTTTGGTATTGGCCTTTAACTCAACCGACCAACAGCCGCATCGCTTGATCTCTGAAGGCAATTATGTACGCTACGAAATCCATAGTCATCTGAGGAAGTGACAATTACCTTCAATGGATATCGCCATTCGGATGACGCTGGCGCGGAAGGGACTCCTGGCACATGCTAAATATGTGAAGGATCTGTCGGAGATAAGTGAAGGATGGTTGCTCAAACATATGACGCATCTAGGGCTGATTGCTCACGGGACTGCTTTTGATCACCACACCAAGATTCGGTCAGCTTCCTCGGTTCTTCAGGCATATAATACGCTCAAGGAGTTCTCTACTCGGGCGAAGCTGCAAAACTGTGTGTCTAAGACCCATCGTATCCATGACTTTAAAACAAAAGATGAAGTGACACCTCGAAAGTTTCAATGAACTAATTGTGGGTCTGCCGAAAATGAACGAACCTCTGGATGAAGCACGACAATTGGTGATTCAGCTGCATTGTCTTGCAGAGGAATATGAACTGATCTCTTCCATCGTAATAAATTCTAAGGACATCACACTTAACGAGGTCAAACATAAAATACTGAAAAATCCAGACGTCTGGCGAGAAGGGGAGTCAAGAGCGTGCACCGAAGGTGAATCACGAGCGCAAATTCAGAAGCTCAAAGAAAGCAAAGTCTTCAAAGTGGCATATTCAAATGGGGGAAGGCTTCAAAAATGAAGGCTTTCAGAGGCAAGTGCTTCATCTGCAACCTAGTCGGGTATTTCAAGCATGATTGCTCCACTCGGAACGGCAACGGCGATTCCGTATTTGCCGTGTGTGGTCGACCAGACATTTGTTTGATTGATAGTGATATGACGGCACACATATCCTCGCTCCGCGACGAGTTTATCGGGTACGACACATTTGCAAGCGGCACTGAAGGTACCATTTTGAATGGTAATAAACCTCGCGTTACCGGAAAGATCGAAATACATTTAAAGGACATCCAAGTCAAACGGATACGTGTAGCAGAAGCTATGCACGTTCCAGATCTGGATCAACAATTGCTATCCGTAGGTATATTGACTGACCGGGGCATTCGTCTTGAATTTCGTCAAGATTCACCGGTCATTTGGAAGAAGTCGAAGGAAGTGGCATCTGAACAGAAATCGCCAAGACATGTGTGCTGGAATGTCATTAAAATATGGCACAGTATGTGGAGTACGCTCAAGTTGAAGATGAGTGGGAGCTATGGCATGCTCGAATGGGGCGTCCGAGCAAGGAAGAGCAATTGAATACGTAACTAGCGGCGACAGGGATACCGATGATCAAGAAAAAGAAGGTCAAGAATTTGTGCGGTGGTTGCATGAAAGGCAAGATGACGGTGGAGAGACTCCCATCGCAATCCCGAACACGCATGCCAAGTGTACTGGAGCTTGTACACACGGACGTGATGGGCCCAATGAAGACAAAGTCAAAAAGTCATGCTAAGTACGTGGTCACCTGTGTGGACGACCACTCTCGATATCTGGTGGCGTATGTTCTCATGGCAAAGACAGAAGTATTAATGACATTCAAGGAGTTCAAGACACTGTAATAAAGACAGCTGAATGCTTAGATCAAGTCCTCGGCTCGAACAACGGGTCGGAATTCGTTAACAAGGCGATGGACAGATACTGTACGACTAATAGAATCGTACACACGAAAAAAGGTATTATTTGACCCACAGCAAATTGTCGTGGTGGAACGGGCCGACCGGACACTCATGGAGAAGGAAAGATCGATGGTGTACTATAAAGGCGTCTCGGTGTATTGGTCGGCAGAAGAGATCAACACGGCAGTGTATTTGATGAACCAGTCGACCGGCAAGGTACACCCAGTACCACAACTGACGAAATGGGATTTCGAGTGAAGCTATGCATGGAACACTTGCTTTTGTTTGGATCAATGGGTTATGAACACTTGGGTAAAACCAAGCGTACCAAGTTGGACCCAAAAGGGTTCAAGCGCTTGTTTTCCGGTACGCGAAAAATACCAAAGGATACAGAGTATACGACTTGGACGCACACAAACTGCAAGTAGTACGATCAGTAAGGCTCGACGAGTGAGAAGTCAGCGGGATATATGACGCACCAGCGTCGATAAACAAGTCGATAATCCAGGTTATCGAAGATGATGATGACACGATCTATCACAAACACCTGGAGAGACCGGTTCAAGATGAGTCGATAGAGTGTCCGGACGAGTCTGTTGGAGGCATGAAGATGCAAGAAATGGACGACCACGAGCCGACCAGATATGGGTTGACAGAGTAACCAATAATGAAAAGCTACATGGTATACCGACCCCAACCCGCTCGATCACGTCGTAGTCAAGAAGCAGTGATTATGCTTGATAGCGGACTAGAATCGGATGACGATGATGAAAAACGATGATCATTTTTACCCACCATCTCCTGAATAAATTACGGTTTGACGATGACCGCTCGCTTGCCGAAGCAGTGCTTGCATATGCAGCAAACGTTGAAGACATTGCCAACGCTCCACAGACGTACCAAGAGACCATTTCAAGTGATGATCTATCAAAGTGGATCAGGGCAATAAAAGAGGATTGAAGGCGCACAAGGTGAACGGGCTTTGGACTTTGTACGAAGAACCGAAAATGTACGACCTATCGGATTTCAGAGCTGCGGAACCGACCAATGTGCTTACTTGCAACACAATCGCGGCAACCCAGTTTACGTTTCCCTGTATGTGGATGACATGAATTTCGCGGCCAAGACCAGTGAAGAGATCTCGTCGGTCAAGAACGCGCTAAAAGGATCGTTCAAGATGAAGGAACTTGGGACGACAAAGTGTATACTCGGTATGGAGGTGGACATGACTCAAGGGCTAGGATCCTGACAATCAGTCTGACCTGATGTATCGACGACGTGGTGGAAAGGTTTGGCCAGCGAGGTGTAAAGGCAGTGGTGAACCCATGTGAAGAAAAACGCAAGCTTACCAAGATGCAGTCATCGACCACAAGTACTGAGCAGTCGGACATGGGCACAAGACCGTATCGTTTGCTGATCGAATGTCTGTTATACATCATGACGTGCACCCGCCCGGATGTGGCATACATCGTGACGCAGTTGACAATAGGCTTGGAGAATTCTGGGAATAAGCACTGGAAAGCAGCCATTTGAGTGCTGCGAAACCTTATGACGACGCAAGACATCAGAATCATGTACGACGATGCTGATGGCAAGACAATGGTGAAGGCCTTCACGAACGCTGACTGGGGGTAGCAGCATCGGTAATCGGAGATCTGTCTCAGGCATCATGTTTATGATTGGAGGTACACCAGTCGTATACAAGTTAAGATATGAACGATCAGTCACTGAGCACTGCTGAAACAGAATACATGGCACTAAGCTTATGTACGCAGAAAGTTTGCTGGATACGCTATGAGCTACAAGACCTGGGACACGAGCAAGTGGGAGCAACCGAAGTCTGGGGGGACAGCCAAGGAGCGATTGCGTTGGAGAGCAACGTCTGATACATCGCACATACAAGGCATATCGACATTCGTCATCACTTCATCTGAGAAATTGTCGTGAATGATACGATATCAGTCAAGTACACCAAGACTGAAGATCAAGTGACATATATGCCGACGAAGGCTTTGGGGACCATGAGCCTTAAGTTCCTTTGCGAAGCTAGTGGATTCAAGATCGCGAGAACATGACAATAGCGCTGAGTGGGAGTGTTGACATGGTACACCGTATGTATGCCTTTATGGATGTATTCTTATCGACCATTAATAATTCAGTGTGACTCACTTTCTGGGGGGGAATGGAAAGCGTATATGCGGTGCAGCTATCAGCTGTTACATAAGTACCAGGTCGTGATGAGAAGGGTCGACAATATTTAGTATCCGATGAAAATATGTCGTAGATGTTGGGCTTTGATGCAACTTATTTGGCATGAGAACTAGGGACCTCAATCAATAAATCACTTCGGTATTTGCCTTTAACTCAACAAAATCGAGATCGACAAGATGAGTCTGCAGTGCCATGAAGAGCCATTGTAGAATGACAGGGTTCAGCCATTTTCTGGGTCGTTGTCGGAAACGTCGACACCGATGTGGAAAAAGCAGCATGAATTGGATCCTATAATGCGTAACAACTGTGGGCTGGGTATGGTTACATATTGATGGTCCGTGTTCATCTCGTACAAAAGGCTACGGAAGATGGTATGGCTACACGCGAAACGAGAATCTTTAGGATAAACGAATGCTGTTTGAAAGGAATTCTCATCACAGATAACGACCCAATCAGAACATTTCAGTAGCAGAAACCAATATTCTCTTAACCCGCCATTGAACACATATCTAGCTCATCGACCTTTGCATTAGCAACAGCAAGTGAACATACAAGTAACATGGATAGAAAGCTTGCACGATCGAGTAAGTGAAAAAGTACAATAGCTTGACCAAATCTGTTCGCCGTGCGCACCCGGCTAAGACGACCATGTCGTCGTCTTCTCAGCCGGGTGCCCGCATCTTCGACGAAGTTTCGTCAGCGTCGCAGAAAAGACGAATTGGAAGGGAAGTATCTCCCCCGGAAAACGACTGACGGATTAAGAAGTGAACGAGCGCTTGGTTTAGTGTACGTGATGTTTATTCCCGCACATGGTTTTATGCGCTCTCTCGTGGTTCTCGAACACTTTGGCAGTCTCACATGGGCTCGTACCAAATCATGCATACGTACCCCTCGTGCAGCAAACGCCATTGTAGCTAGTCCTACGACGAAAATATCCTCTACTTATTCGTGCACAGCCACAAGACGAGCTCGGGTATGGACCGAACGGTCTTGACCGCCGTAGTGCACGCTTCTGACCACTTGCTGTCGTCGGAACACAGCATTGCAGTCCAATGGCGTAACCCTTGTTGACGCCGTTAATCTTGCGGCGACGCCTCTTCGCTACCCTCCTCGCGGATAAAGTAGCGAACGATCTTGTTCGTGTTCCAGCGACTTTTTTTGTGCCGGCACACTTTCGTTCCATTCGTGATCGGCACACACTCGAGGTTCGTGGCGTTGCAGGGCCTTGTCCACGTGCCTGTCGCGGTCGGGCCACCGCAGTGGTCATGAAGTCCCGGGCTTATCTTCATGCATCGACCAAAGTCCCTCCGCTCGGTCTGGCAGAACAGACCCACATCGCACAAAACGGAATTGATCTGCCACTCGCACTGCTCGTACAGTCCCGCTCCCCCAACCGGGTATAAGCCGACCGATTTGAACCAGGCGTCAGTGGTGAGTGCATTCAGGTCCAACAGGGCAATGATCAGCACAGCGGACCTCATTGCTGGAATCGTGAGTGTGCTTGGTGCGTGGTGGTTGATTGAAGAATGACTGGAAGTAGATGCTGTGCCGCTCACCTGGCGGAAGTCGATGGTCTTGACTGGATTGGCTCACTCCACGTGGAGCCATCTCCTGGAGGATGTAGCACTTCCTCCTCAACAAAATAAGTAGACGGCCTCGTCTGTCGACGGAATCTGTGGCAACGACTACTGACTAGACATGTAAGCGAGTTGACCCGGCTAGAGACCGTTTCGAGCCGGTCCAGCTGGTTGCGGCTCGCAATTTTTGCAGAATCGGGTCAGATCAGATCAGCGAATTGTCGACTCGGGTTCGAGCCGGTTCTACCCGGCTGCACTTTTTGAAAACCCGGTTGACATGCGACATCGAGCTGAGCCCCGCAATTGAACGACGTCGATGGCCAGCGAGGCCTTTCTGTCTAAGCTATGGCCGAGCACTAGTCTTCTGATCAGTCCATTAAGCCACGACCCGGTCCAACTCGTGCTTCTGCGACGATCCTGGTCGTCGCACCGCAAAGACTTTTACGAGGGTTCCATTGCTTTCATCGCTATCGCAATAAAGTCGCGACTGTATGCCTGCATTGCAACGGTCTCAAAGCAAGCGCTTCGTTTAAGTAGCTACGTTGACGTTTGTAGGTTGATCGAGTAAAGACAACATCAACAGAGATTTCGCAAAAACCGAAATCATAGTAAACATATTTTTACTTTTCTTTACGTCCCAACGTGTTCCGATTGGAGCTGACACTTCCTCTGCACGAACAGCGAACGCGAGGAGTCGAGGCACTTGCTGGCATTGTGTCAGTGTATATAGCTTCAGCTGTGTCACGACAACCGGATGGTACTCCGCCTCAGTTTCTGCTCATACGCGATAGTGTCATGGTCGCTCTGCTGCTACCAGCGTGATACGGGATAGTACGAATAACGTTCGTTACCTTCTGCACAGTCCATCCACCTTCCAACGAGTTGTGCTAGAGCCACACGCAGCAAGGATTGCTGCTTGTACTAGCAGTAGGACCTGAACGTCGGTTGAGTGCTTATGACGACACGATGTCGGTGTGCTTCTCCCCGACTTCGTCATTCTCCTCCACGCAGACTCTGTCTGCTGGCTCGAGACGGTGAGTGTCACGGGGACACTCCGCATAGGGCACGTGGAATCAAGAATCCAGACTGGGGTGTAGGCAGGGCGCTAAAGTCGCGGAAGATGCCGGACACCACTCCGATAGGTCGCTGACGCACCCGGGCGGGTCCGATCAAATAACGTTCTAGGCATGTTCGCTTCGTAAGACCGGGCATCATGCTATGCGACCAGGCCGGCGACTTGAAGGCTGACGTAGAATAGCAGGGACTAGGTGGAAAGACAACTGATGTTGCCGAGCCCCTCACCCTGGGCTGTCTCGCTTGTTGCTTCCCTTTCGATTTGCACGCTGCACCGCCTCCCGTAGCGCACGCAGCGGATAGATGGCCTCCGCCCTTTAACCTGGACCCCGCTATAGGGGATGTCCAGCTCAAGGGAAGGGGACGGTTGTCCAGCTCGGTGGATCTCTTCGTCGGTTGTTTCTTGTTGCCCAAAGGCGCTAATTGGGAAGCGCGAGACGCTTTCCATCGGTCATAGTGGCTTGTAGCTGGTATGTCAACCCTTCTGGTACCAAGTCAAGACGGCACAAACGTACTGGCCATAGAAGTCGCATGACGAGATGCGCGAGCAGTATCCGCTGAGAGAATTAAGCTGTCCGTGACGGCAAGACCGATTTGCTTGGGACGCGCTAAACAGCGCCGACTGAAAGACTACCTGGCGCCAATTCTATCTCCGACCACACAAATACATATGGTCAGTTGTTTTTCGGTCGTACTTTGTGTTCATCTTCACAGATGACAAAAAGACAACGGTACATAGCATCGAATTCTACGCTAAGAGAAGATCAAAGAACAGAATCAAACTTATGGGAAACTACGACCCTGCCCGGGTCCCGCCTATTTAATAGGAGGCGAACTGGCCCCCAAAAGCCGACCCTTGCATTCTATGTGTTACCTCCTTTGCAACTGCATTCCTATGAATGTTCGCGGACCTGCGGAACGAGATCATCGGGACACGGTAGGACCGTGATCCGCTTACGGCACACTAAGTTTGGCTCTGACATGTAGCTAATTAACTCTTCTGCAACTTCAGGGCGATATGTTAGAGTTGACGAGCTCTACCGCGAATGAGCACACCTGCTGGCAGAACAAGATTAAATCGTATTGGTTTTGCACACAACTGCGTCACCGGTTTCATTGATGTACAGGGGTCAGTGGACAACGCCAGGATCTCAAAGGCGATCACAGGACAAGAACGTAAGGATAGTGGCAGACTATTTGGCTCTCCATGACAGTCTTGTGATTCTTTTCCGACGCGCACGTCTCTACAAACGATGACTATATGCACCTACACACTAATGTTGGGCATACCTGTATCGTGTTTAGCAGGATGACTGGGAAACAAGTGTGGATACGCCGTCGCACTCAAGTTGCTGATGAGCCTACGTCGTGAAATATGCTAGGTTGCAAAGGTACAGTGGTGTACCTGTTCTTTGAATATTTATGGGAACAAGCGCCCTGAGGTCAATGACATGCAGTGGACTGGCGAAAATGCGTACAACCAGGAGATGCCAAGGTAACCAAGCCACTGCTTTAACCGCATCTGTCTACTAATATCAAACGGTTTCTCGGCGCATGTGATTTCTAATTACAGATTCACTTATCCGTTAAGTCAATTGTCGAGCCTCGAGCGTATATGGATACTGATAGCTCGAGCTTTGGCAGACAAAGGCACCGCGGAACGCACTCAGTGATCTGCAACAACAACATTTGGCGGGGTCCGGATCACGCGTGTCGAGGCTATTGCAATAAAGATTCAAATGAGGTTAAACTCATACCGAGATCAGCTACGTGCTCATACCTTGTCTTCATACCTCAAACGTATCTAGTGCATGTAAACACTCAATAATTGATTGTTCAATTCTTCTATAGTAAATGCATGATTACATGCATGATAAGTTAGCTCAAGGACATACGTGTCATCCTCATCATTGATAAGTGCAACGAACAAGTAGATCCGTGCAGAAATTGGCATGCTGATGATATAGCAAAAAGGCTTGATTGAAAGACATTCAGAACAATAATTCGTGTGATGTCAAAGCATTGATTGTTGAACTATTGGTATTTCTGTATTAGCTGTCAGCGTTGGAGAACGTGATGCAAGCCATAAGAACATGCATAGATTTAGTGCGTTGACGAGAAGTGGTGGGGCGTGCAGAAATTGCCTTGAAACATCAAAAGTAGCACCACCATCACCACCTTATCTTACAAGTAGCCATCGCATAAGTGCTAGTCTCGAAGAAATGGAGGTTCCCTTCAAATGTAGCCGATATCCGTGAGCTTAATCGTACTTGCAGTGGCCGGAAGGATATTGGGTATGTTCTTGATCGGGTGCGGGATATTCACTTGGACATTGAAGATGACGCACTTGATTCGATACTTCCTGGCAGCCCATAGTATCCTGCCCCGTGATATGTCGGTGATCCACCGGAAGAGGTAGAGTCAGTCCACGATACAACTGGTTGTAGCAATGTCTACTCGAAGCGGTTCCTTTTCTCGGATCATATTCAGATTGTGAATACGATTGGCCTTGTCCTCCAGACACTTAAAACAATGATTTATCGCCTATTATAGCTGCTGCTTTATACACTTGTTCAGTACACGTCATAGAAAATCATTTACACTCGACACCTCTGGCAGAAAATCATCATGAATGGTACTGAAGGTAGGACTTGAGTGGCCTGTTGAACATCATGGGCTCAAATTCATTCGACAAGTACGTTAAGAATGCGAATACCACCTGCCTGTGACGCCTGTTGCTAGATTAGCTACTGTCCTTCGCTCCAGTAGTGGACACACATAGCATCGACTTTCTACTTATATTCGACACCTTAGGTCGCATGTTGCCATCAACCTCGGACTGCTGGGGGGACGTAATTGAGCAGTCGTTGTCTTGCTGACGATTCTCCATCTAGAAATCTGAAACCAGTAGCTTTATAAGTCGCGATAGGATCAAATGAAGGTAAACAGGAAGCTTTGCTGCACGTACCTGGCTCGAACCTGCCTTACGTCAGTGCAGCACGTACCTGGCTCGAACCTGTCTTACTTCAGTGCAGCACCTTGGATCGAACTTGTCTTACGTCAGTGCAACTGCCGCCTTTGAAAAACATATGATACGTTTGTATCATTCGCAAGACGCGGTGCTATGTACCGCTGTCATTTTGTCATCGGTCAAGACGAGCTCAAAGTACGACCCAAAAACAACTGATTATATGTATTTGTGTAGTTGGAGATAGAGTTGGCGCCTGGTAGTCTTTCAGTTGGCGCTGTTTAGCGCGTCCCGCCCTGCGTGCATACAAACCCTCATAGCCAGTAAGGCGGTCGCACATCTTCCCGCTGACATCCTGCACCCTCGACGTCATCAGATAATGCTCCGCCTCTCTTGCAGCTGCGGCAGTGGATGTCTCCTGATTTACGTGGCAGAACCGCCGACGCCCAATGATTCTCACTTTTCGTTTTGCGCCTTTGTTCCCCGCGTGTATCCTGTCCGAAACCCCTTCGAGTCGAGCCGTACACTCTCACGGTATCCGGCCATGCGGTCCTCTATCTTCGTCATTGCGCTCTTGATGAGTGGTGTACTGCTCGTCACGGCGGATGCTGTATCGGCTTCCAGACGACTGAAAGCCACGGCATCTGGCGCTGAGAAGCTCGTGGACGAGGCTCCTAAGGAAGTGGCGAGGGTCCCTCTTCCTGACGTAGAGGGGCTCGAAGAACGGTGGAATGGGCCCGTATCCTGGGTCAACAGGTTCGTCGAATGGATCAAGTCGTTTATGGTCGATCTGCGCAGCCTCTACTTCAGGCATCATATCCCTGCGGCGAGCGAGGACTATTTGACTCTATTGCTCAAGACG